TGACGTATTGTGCTACAGCACCATCCCAGCCCCCCCACCCTCCCTCCCCAGATCTGCTTTATCCCCCTCTATCTTGCTATCCAGATTTATTCACCTGCTCCTAAACTAAGATTAGCACCCAAAGAAACAGGGATCTTGAGCAGGCCCTGAATTCTGGGTCATTTCCTCCCCCCTGAAGTATACCTCCTCCACCTTTTGCAAAGAACATCTCTCTCATCTTCTACCACTGCATGCTGTTTCTTTTCTAGATGGGGAAGAGGTGCTTGCTTATGCTGGAGAGTGAAGTGATGAGGACTGGGGCACTAGTAACTCCTTTAAGCCTTGCTAACTTGGAGTTTGCCTGCATAAGAGAAAGCTGTTGGGCTCTGCCCACAGACAGTCTTAGTTACTGCTTCAGTTGCTACAAGCCTGTTGTTCTATTTCCACACAGTTTTTGTGGTTTCTAAGAGAATATGTCTTTTGAAAGAGATGCACAGTATGGCAAACATCCCATGTAATGCTATGGCAGTAGCTTTCCTGGCTGGATCCTCTGGCTGTGACATCTTGTGCTGGAAGCCCTTGTGAAAACTAGTTCTAGTGCCCACCCACCCCTCACTAAAGAGGATTGTGGAGGCCAACTGCAGTGTAGTAGGAGCTGACTGGACCAAGCTGTGGCAGCAAGTTCTTGTAAGCCACCAGGACATGCAGTCTGAAATGACTTCAGGACCATCTGGCTGGATGAACTCTTCTGTTGCTGCTCTACCATTATTGCACCTCCCTCTCACCCTGACCTGTATCCGCTCCAAAACAATAGAGCACTAACTGCCTTTCTCCTTACCCAAGGACAGGCTTATTCTGGCATCCCAAACAACCATATGGGCAAGATGAAGCTACTGCACTTCTTGCATGGCTGAATGCCCACTTCATAGAAGCAGCAACTAAAAGGCAGGCAGCAGTGGGAACCTGGCTAGCACAGCCCTTTCCCATAGCAAACCTTCCTTCTGTGCCTTTTTCCTCCCTTCTCTGAGAGGGCCTGTAAATGAAGGAGTCTCCAAACCCTAAGCCCATGCCCCTGTGTTTAGGTTTCCCAGACCATCAATGGCATGTTTTATCGCCTGGCTCAAATGAGAGTAGAGAATAAGCCAAGGGCAAGGGGAAATCCTTTCATGGTATGGAGGCCAGGGGATTTCTAGAACCTGTCTGTAGAACAACCACCACCTGTTCTAAATCACTTATCACGGAGCAGAAGACAATCACTGACTGGCAATCTGGAGATATATGGCCAACAGGTGATGTGAAGCAGCCCAAACCACCATCCATCAGTTTGGAGGGGGGGAGCTGTAGAAAAACCTCTTTTGAAAACCGCTCTTGAATGAATGTTGTTTCCTTTAGACAATGAATTATAGTTCCCACTTGCCAAGCTGCAAATTGCCTGTTCACTCTCTCCTGTCTGGTACATGTGCCGGGGGTGGGGAGGAGATGAGGATTTCATGGTGCAAAAGAGAAGATGCTGCATGTTTAGAAACACTTTAACTACCTGTGCTTGGTTCTTCTTTTAAAAAAAAAAAAAAAAAAAAACTGAAAACCCCCACCTTTTTTACCACAGTTATTTTTTTTTTTTTAAAAAAAAAAAAAAAAACTGAAAACCCCCACCTTTTTTACCACAGTTATTTTTTTTTTTTTAAAAAAAAAAAAAAAAAGACTGAAAACTCCCATCTCTACTACCACAGTTAATTTTTATTCTTGTAACATTTCAGCAAGTTTTGTCCAGAATGAATGTGAAAAAATCATTTCTCTGGAATATCTGCTGATCAAAGCTGAATTCATCTTTTATTTTTAATTTTAAAAGTACATGGTTTTGGGATTTGATATCAACACTAGTCTGTAGCTGCTGTCTAACAGTTGTACCATTCTTCCTGTATTCTTTTGGACTGTCCTCCCCACTTTTTAATTCCTTTGTACAGTCAGTGTTGTTTGATTGTTATACATGTTTTGTTTTATATAAATTAAAGCTTGTTTTTGTTTGGTTTTAAGCTACCAAGCAGGATGTGGAAAATCACATGAATTTAAAAAAGGAATTGTTCTTATTTAAAACTTGATTTCTATTGTCTTTTTTTAGTTTGGGGGTCTGTTTTCACATTTGTTTTTCCTCTCTACAACCTCTGACACTAGAAACTTGTTTTGAAGGGCTTTCAGCTTCTTACATAATCCCTTGACTCCAGGTGACAAAGCTTTAAGAAAAACATTGCTAGATCTACTTGTAATGAGCTCAGCTCTTGATAACACTTGTCTGCAGCTGTGCATGCCCTCAGTAAAACCATGATTCCCATCCATTATAAGTGGCATAGAACTTGCACCAGGTGCAGGTCACCAGGGGTATTGTTACACACACTCCAGGAGGGGCTGGGGGGGCTCTTTAATTAGTGAGCATTTTTAATAAAAAGTGCCAGTGTGTCATGTGTATCAGCATACCCCATGCTAAAAAACGATGGTGGGGCACTTTGAACTAAGGGTTATCGAATTAACTTTAGTTCAAAGCACCCTGCTGCCATTTTTCAGCATGAGGATGCTGATGCACATGATACCAAAGTCTGCTGGAGCGTGTTTATTTCCGTGCTCTAGCAGACTTGATTAAGTGAGTCTGCTCCAACATGCTGAATTTCCAGCATGTTGGAGCTGACTCCTAGCATATGTATAGAAGTCCCAGAAGTTTCATGTTAGGTCTGCACAAGACCTTCTGTTGCCCAGACTCCCTTTAAGACCTGGCTATCCTTTATCCTATCTCGGTGTGTCTGGAACAACACCAGTAACTCCAGCTTTATCTGCACCTGGGGGTGGGATTTGGCTCTTAGCGTGATTGATTTTTCATTTTTCTCCTGATCTTAGATTCAAACAATTTCATAAGGGATATGCAGAGTAAGGGTAGGTGCTGGCTTATGATCTCAGGGTTAGATTCACCTTTGCTGTTCAGGTGAAGATGAAAAACATTGATCCTTATGCTCCAGAGTGAACAGCAGAGTCATAATAATGGTACCACAAACATGCCTATGCTCCCAGTTTAGAGAGTAGTCTCAGATTGGAGCTCCTAGATCCCAGAGTAAAGCAGTGACTTCTGGAGCAGAGGGTGCTTTTCCTTAGCCAGCTCTTTGCCCCTTGTCTCCCACAGAGTAGAGGCTCTTACTAGGTAACCCCCTCCTGACCTTCCTCTTCTTCCAGTCTGATCCATTCTCCAGGATCATGTTTTCACTCTCTAGCAGACTAGCCTGTTTCAGCAACTCAAATTGTGATTGCTGGGGATGGGAGGAGGGAAAGCAGATGGTGGCTGAAGCCTGGAAAAACCCCATCACGGGGTAAAAGCCTGGTCAAGGAAGAGTGAGAAAAACATGCCTCTTTGTTTTTCAGGCGGGTTCTGCAAGTGCCCTGTACTCTCTCACCACAGGAGCCTTAAACAAAGGGTTTGTGTGATTTCAGGTGGAGAATAAGCAGCAGGAGCAGATGCTTCAGGAGCAAGACATTCTGCTCGCATGCAGCTGCCTCTGTCTGTAAAGAACAAGGCAAGAAACTGCCTACTGTCAATGGAGACGGCTACAC